CAGTTGTGCCAGTCCAACTGTATAGTCTCTCGATCCTGACAGTAATAAAGGCAGAGCCCTGGTTTAACGGTGCAGCTCCTGAGTGAGGCATTAAACAAACCTCACATCTGTGCCCATTGTCCCACTGCTGCAATCCCAAACCAGCAGTAAAGAGATTTAAGAGCGTTTAACATCTAATAAATCTGCTGCGTTTCTTCACTGCAGTTCCCCTGCAGCAGCTCTCATCTGGTAAGCTGTGACTGCAGTGTAACGTTATTAGTCCTGTGACTTTGGGGAGTAGCTGTAGCATTTGGTCTGTCCACCTCCACACTAGCAGGTTAAAAACACTGCCTTCTAACAGGCAGCGGCTCAGGAGGCCACTCAGCTGAAAGGCTATATCGGTTGCGGCTTCCTCTAAATCCCCGAGTGAATTGCTCCGCCCTGTTAGACATCGTAAATCAATGCAGGATGACATGTGCTCACACACACACACACACACACACACACAGAGGCAAGCTTAGAGCTCTGCGACAAGCTCATGACATTTTTAGCATAACCATAAATTGTATCTGCTGACAAAAGAAAATCTGAAAGATGATGACGCTTAAAAATTAAAGCTTCTTTTTGCTGTTTTTTGGTTTAGAACTGGTTTAATTGACACTGCTTTTCTTGGTAAATTCATGTCTTTTCTGCTGATCAAACTTCAGCTGAGGCTTAACCCACTGAGCCATGCACTTATAATATCTAAATACAGCGCCCTGTGTTATTTGGGAATATTTTTAGTTGATTTATTCACTGACAAAAGGGAGTGCGTGACGACAGTCTGTACAAAATAGCGCCACGGCTGCCTTATTCATTAGAATCACTGGTAACGCGCAGCAAAGAGTACGAGCCCTATGATAAATAAGTCATCCGTAAAGCATGGCTTCAATTTAGTCTACAAGGAAAAGGACTGCACTGGTACAGAGGCGCTCACACACATCCAGCGTGCATACATCATCGTCATGAAATGCCTGCATTGGGTTGTCATGGAAACGTGTGGAGAGCCTTAGCGGGAAAGACAGAGAGTAGACGAGGAGCCGTCTAAGAGTGTTCCCAGTGCCGCAGCCTCATTCTACTCTTCCAGTCATTTATTTTTGGCTTTTACACACACACACACACACACACACGCACACACACACACACACACACAGCTTGCTGTGATGTTGATGAGAGACAGCCAGGTTGGAAAATTCACTCACTCTACACAGCATCTTTCCACCCATACTGCCTGCATATCTTTTACATACACTGCTTCCTATTGGGATTATTGACAGATGACAGTGCATGTTAACTACAGAAAAATAATTTTTTTAATTTTTCCTTTTTTTCCCCTCATCAATAACACACCATCCAGACATCAGTGAGCAGCGCATGTGTAATTGGAGGTCATTAAATTCAATAAACCCTGAGAAGTCCTGGTTTAATTTGTAGCTCTGCATTAACATGACAATACACGTGCTGCTCGGTGCACTCCCCGTGACAGATGAACACCGATACCCCGCTTATACATTAAAGCGGCGCATGCACGCGCACGCACAGACATTTTCCGC